TCTTCTTACTTTTGAAAGCAAATCTAACCACTGTTCCAATATTTTTGAGCAAAGATACGCATTCTACAACTCTCTCGCAACTATAACTTATTTCTTTCTCAAAATCTATAACTTCGCTGCCACTTGTTACAACGATAGATAACTAAAGACCTTCAAAAATTTCCAGAGACTTCGCAGCCGTGCACCAAGCCTGCCAACCAACACGGGGCGAGAGTTACAGCTCGCATCTGTACGAAGCTGCGCTACAAACGCCGAAGACGCCGACCACGTCAAAGATCCCTACGTCCGCGTCCGTTCGATTTGCCGATTTAGAAGAAGGCGAGGAGTCGACGTCGGACTACGCGAGCATAGAGGCCAGAAGTCCCGGTGATCCTCTCGCCGACGACGACTGGCCATCAGGACGAAAGAGCAAACAATATCGCCCGATAATTACACCGTCGACGATACGCGAGGGCCAATTTGGCTTCTGTAATCCGAATTACCTCGGGCTGGATGAAACCAAGGTCCATCACCAGCAACAGCAACCACCTCAGGACGGGAAGTACGCGAAATTATTGAACAGTCCACCGGACAGTGTTTTGGAGGACGAGCCAGGGAGATCAGCCTCGCAAACGTTCGCGGAACTATTAGAGCTTCAAGAAATCAAAAGGGTGCCAAGAGCACCGCCCAAAAGCCTACCATTAGGTTCCCCGTCTAGAAGAGCTGTCAGTGCGTCAAGGGCTGAGAGGCAACGAGCTAAAGTTGCTGCAGCTGACATCAACGAAACTGAGACACCATCCTATGGACCAGCGCCATTGTACGTTTTCCTAGTCGGAGGGAAAGAGAAGGGTCAAGTGACGGTGTTCGCGAGACCGGTTTCTTTGTGGAAGTTGCAATTAGCGCCACACATCTTTTAAAGACGATAAGTACGTTCGTATTGGTTTCATTTACTTCAGTGGAAATAGTTCCAAAGGACTGGGTGATCGATCTTCTTCGAGAAATTTGCTTGTCGCTGTTTTAAAGAGCGAACAGTCGATGAATGCGAGTTTCTTAATGCCAAATGAGAACAACAGGGGAAGAATACGATAAGTCAAATTTCCTATTTTTTTATAGGGGAACAGTTTTGGTGTATGACTCGTTATGGTGTCAATTAGTCTCGTATTGTCGAAATTGTCTTCTTATTTGGTCTTGAAGATTTTAGTATTATCGTAGTGTTAAAGTATTGAAATATCGACTGTCTTAACAATAGAATCAGTGAGTTAAAGAACAGTACAATTTTCAAGTTGACATTTTTTTAATAAATAGTCTCTTTTTATTATTGCATTATTTTCTTTTAATTTTTGCAACTAAAAGTACAATCGTCCAGATTTTATCGTAATTGTGAAAGATTTATGAACTCGACTTTATTCTTTCAAATATTTTAAAATAGTCTTTTTGAATTTGCATTGCTCTTCAGCTCAACAATTCAATCAAATTTCCGACTTCCACAAAACTTCGTCACTGTGCTGGCAATATTATATAAAAACATACAATTACATTTATTTTATTTGTTGAATTATCATTTTAAAATCTATTTAATCTTATTTGAAGTAACATAAAAATTAGAAAACGAGTAAAAACGTGCTTATTATATTTTTCTCCTGTGATCTTCGAATGTTATGTCATTGTAGTTGGTTATATTTAACATTTAGAACTTTCTCTTGATATTTTATTATATTTATTGTTAAAGAGAATGTATTTGTTTCGTTGACGTGCATTTACGTGTTTTTCAATAAGTTTTGTTGTAAAAGTCCTACAGCCCTTCAGTATCGTATATTAAGTATAATTTACAGTGCAATATCAAATGTGATTATTTACTTAAGAAGATTGTTGTACGATTTAATTTACGCAATAAGCAGTCATATATAGAAAGAAATGTTCATACCAAAGCGCAAGTCAAACGCGAGTGAAGCGAAAAAACCCTACGAATGCGTCCTGTCAGTCTTAAGTGGTATACAATAAGTCCAATAGAATGTTGTAAGAAATCTATGATTAAGATCGATATACGTTAGATCCTAGGTTTATCATAAATGATATAATTTTTCTATGCTATAGTAGATAGAAAGCGTAACACCGAGTACTAGGTCGTTCAAATTTTTTGACTTGAAATTTAAACGATATACGAAACAAATCATCAAAAGACTCGCCTGATCTGCGCTTAACTGCCATCGACTGTGAACACGATATACGTAGAGAATAAAACTAGAATTAATATATATTAATTTAATAAGTGTAACGATCGACGTTTTGAAACATTCTGAATATTAAATGGAAATCGATGTGTGGTTGTGTTCAAATGTGGATAATTAAAGTACGTTTCGATTATTCTGTGGAAATTAGATTTTTATAAAACAAAAAGATGACTCTAAATGGAATAACTTGTGAATTAGAGTAGAATCTAAAGAAATTACCAACTACGTTTTTGTTCGTAATTCTATCATGGTAGAAAAGATTTCTAACGCGCGAAACGTACAATCGTATACAAAGAAGAAGAATTGTGTTCCAAAATGTTCTAGCGAATGTAAAGCAAAAATAGTCAAAAAAGTCTCCACTGTGACTATATTTATGATGGTAGCATAGATCCGGTGTATGTATTATAAGCGAATGAAATGATAAAATATGGGAAGTCTCTCTTCTTCATGTAAAGTTTTTATGCCCACAAAGGCCCCATACATGTAATCCATCCATGTAGTAGCAAAGGTCAACGTGGAACCTCATAAGCTGAATATTAAAAACATAATTTTTGAAGACACAATAATAACAATAGTAATTTTTAATTTTGAGAATACGTAGAAATAAAAAAATTTATTTGACGAATAGTTAATTTTATGTGCAGAAAATTTTTAATTAATAATGAAGCTACATTTAATTAAAGAATAATGTGCATAGATGATAGATATTAATCACAGGAGTCTACGTATATTTGTCAAATTTCATACATTTGAATAATATTATTGTTCATTTTCTTGTTTCAATAAAATTAATAAAATTAATTTATTCATTTTATTGTTGCAAGACTAGCAAATATAAAATTAAAATAAATAAAAAACGAACACATTTTATGTACTTCAATATTCATCATAATTCATGATAATTGAAGTAGATTTTGTGATTTTTTTGTTACGATTTATTTATAATTTCCAGTGAAAGATTTATTTGATATTTTCATTCAAGAAATCATTTCTTCACTATCTATATAATTTTAATCGATAAATAAATCAATGTCTACAGAATCCTTGCTTTTCTTCAAATATTTGAAATTTGCAAATGTACAAATACTGACTGAATTAACCATTCTATTTAGTAAGAATATCCGGCAATATTCAGCTAGAGGCCGCAAGCACCCGAAAAATTAATGTTTTCCATTCGTAGCACTAGTCAATTTTTACATTTCATCATCAGTGTACAAACGTTAAGACAAATATTCCGTGATGTCATTTCTCTTCTAGAAAATCCCTAGCCTAGTGTTTGTTAATTTTCAGATATGCATACTAGTATGTACAATATTAATCCATCCTTGCGTTACATGCCATAATCGTTCCCGTAATCTTGACCACTTTGATAAGCGATCATAATCAGTTAATCAACTAGTCGTACGAAGTATACACGCTAGTATACCGCATACGAACTTTCGATTTGTCCTACGTACATGTTCCATATTCGAGACGAGTTCAAACGATTTCGCACGGCGTGCAATTTAGTTTAACGAATAGAGAAATTTCACGGTATTCAAATGAAAGTGAAAGCGATGCAGCGTGTATTTGAAATAATCAACATCCGCGTCATTATTGTTTTTCAGTATGTATGCACAACGCAGTCTGATAGTCAATTATGACCATGTCCGTTGCCAAATAATATTTCACTTTAAAATATTATGCTCGTCAAACGAGATTGAGCCAGAGTATAAGCTCGAAGACGTGGGTCAATCCCAAAAAAAAAAAGAAAAAAAAAGAAAAAGTTAAAAGGAAAACGAATAACAATGTAGCTGATTTGAGTGCCTGTAATTTCAATGCGGATATATGCATC